TCTCTCTCTCTCTCTCTCTCTCTCTCTCTCTCCCCCCAAAACCTCTCTTTCTCTCACCTCTCTCCCCTAAACGTCTCTCTCTCAACCTCAATCCCCCAACCCTTCCTCACACTCTCTCATCTCTCTCCCCCAAACGTTCTCTCTCTATCACCTCCCTCCCCCAATAGAAATAATATTTATTTTTTGAAATTCATATTAAGAGAAAGGGAATTCCTTTTTTTTTAAAAAAAGGGACTGATTGTTTGAAGCTCCTTATTGAATCATAATGACAATTTGTAAGCTCCAGTTGATGGGGGCTTTTGTATCTAATTCACAAAACTTCGAAACAAATCGCATTAGTCAAAATGATCGAGGATGAAATCGATCAAAAGGAGGACTAGTTTTTCTGGAAACAAAAAACCACACGAACTCTGATCGTTTGAAACTCCTTACTGAATCACAATGAAAATTTATAACGTCCAAATAATTAGGGATTTTGTAGCTACTTCAAAACAAATCAAGAATCAGTCGAAATGACTGACTATTGAGGATGAAATCGATAAAAAGGCAAACTAGTCCTTCTGCAAACAAAAACCCTCATGAATTTTGATTGTTTGAAGCTCCTTATTGAATCAAAATGACAATCTATAAGGCTCCATCTGATTAGGGCTTTGTAGCTAATTCAAAAACCTTTAAAACAAATAAAGAATCAATCAAAATCACTGACTATAGATGACGAAATCAATCAAAAGGTGGACTGTCTTTTCTGGGAACGAAAAACCAGCAAGAACAGTAATTCCTTGACTGTTTGATGCTGCTTCTTACATGAGAGTGAGAGTGAGAGGGAGAGGGGTTGAAGGAGAGAAGCAATAACGACAGAAAGTGGGTTTGGGGGAGAGAGATGAGAGTGTGAGGGAGAGGGGTTGGGGGAGAGAGGCAATAGAGAGAGAAAGAGGGTTTGGGGGAGTGGGGAGAGAGTGAGAGGGAGAGGATTGGGGATTGAGGCGAGAGAAGGAGAGGAGGATAGAGATGTTTAGGGGAGAGAGGTGAGAGAAAGAGCGAGAAGTTTAGGGGAGCAACAGAGGGAGGCAGAAAAAAGATGTTATCTTTTAGAAAGAACTAGAGCTGTCTTTTAAGACTTTGTTTGGGGTAAAAAAGTGTGGGAAAAAGGGGTCAACTAGGTCCAGGGGGTTAGAAGATATGTTTTTTGGAACCTCTATGCCACTAGCAAGTTTTAAAATCTATGGGTCTATGGGGAAAAGGTACATCAAAATGGGGTGTACAGAGATATTTTCCCTTTTGTCCAATCAACCCGAGTTGTACCCCTATACTCGGCTCAGCAAGAAGCTGAGTCCGAATGGACTCGGCTGAGTTTGTGAACATTGGGTTGACATGCTCAAGTGTGTGCATGAGATTACATATGTGCACATACAATTGCAAACAAAAAAAACTCACATGTAGGAACATACAATGGAAAATTCTATTGCCTTAAGATGGATAGAAGGTTACATGCATGTTTATGCATGGGCTCCTTTAGCAAGTGTTGACCTTGAGACATGCAAGCATGAGCATGTCAATGTTTAGTTATGTCTAGGCAAACAAAGATATCAGTACATTTCTATTTGTGTTCATCTACCCAAAAACCTATGGTTACATGTACACCCATGGAAGGTAGCATATTTCCTACTAACAAGTGACCCCATGCATATCTGCATGCAGGTCTAACTGCTGAGGTCATGCATTTGTTCCTATAGATGGTAGGCATAGGTAATGTGTAGCCTACGGTTGCATGCACACCCATGGAAGGTAGCATATTTCCTACTCACAAGTGACCACATGCATTTCTGCATGCAGGTCTAACTGCCGAGGTCATGGATATGTTCCTATAGATGGTAGGTATATGTAAATTGTGTAGCAAGTAGGTATGCATGTACATGTATTTCTTGTGACAGTGCACGTGAAATCGTTCCATAGTGAGACATGTTATACACATATATAAAGTGGATGCTTTTGTTCGACATATATGCATCGGTTGTATGTATTAGAAAGCAATACCTAGGAAGCTATAAATGAGAGAGAAAGAGTCCTACAAACCTCCTTTTGGCTAAGTAATCAATCGTAAGAAGAATGTAAGCATTTCTTGGAAAAAGGTCACAACTCCCAAAAGTAAAGTAACCTAAATTGAGAACATCCATCACGAATAGAAATTGATCTAATAAACAATTCAACTATAACATTTCAAAGGAGAAGCTAAAAATTGCATGGACAACACCAACCTCAAAGAACAAAAATTAACAAACTCCAATAGGTGATAATTTTAAAGATGTCATCACAAATGTAACCTACATAACATTATTAGAAGCCCCAATAGGTGATAATTTTATGATTATGGTGACCCCTTAAGGTTGTTATATGTTCACACGATAAATACAATATAAATCTTAAAGATAACTGTCAATACAAACGCTCAATGCCACCAACCTCGCTAATGAGAAGCAAAGCCTCATTGTATAACTTCTGGTATAATCCTTCCAGAGCTATCTTAGAAACATCTTGTTCTGCGGCCTTTCGATGGGGAAAAGTGTGAGATGAACAGAATGTTGCTCCATCTATTATAACTGTTGAACGGAACTGCGGCGCATGCGCGAAGCCCTCATTACGAGTTTGGAACACCGGGAATGAAGTACCCAATCGTTGTGCCAACTCTTGCAAATTCTTCTTGAACAGTGTCTGCTCCATACCTGAAGATCATCAGAGAATGAGTTAGCTTAGGCATAAAAATATCATTCAAGATCACAAAGATTTTTATTGAAGTCAATGATCAGCACCATATACACAAGCATGTGCATTAAAAAAAAAAAAACAGCTCACCAGAGCTCAGTCAGACCAATAACCAGTAATATGGACATGAAAGAAAGATTATGCAGGGTCATGGACATGAAAGAAAGATTATGCAGGGTCCCAAGGATTCAATGTGGTGAAATATGCAAAGAAAACTTAAAGCTCATACAAGAGAACAAACTGCAAACTTCTCTCCCTATATCATGAGAAAATAAGAAAGAGAAATGCATGCATAGTCCTTAGAAGGTGATTTTAGGTACCGTAACCAACCAAATTAAAATGAAAAACAGGAATTCACACCAGAACACTCACATCATTATGGGCTTCGACAGCATGACAACACATCAGAACTACTAAACTGAGGTTTTATCTTTGCTGAAAGTAAATTAAAGAAAGCAAAAACAAAAAAAATAAACATACGCTCTAAACCATATGATAATCTTACTAGTGTAAATAGCTTCATAGGAAAGACCAAGATACTCTAAATCTTCTCTTGAGAGAAGTTCCTCTCTTTCATTTGAATCATAATCTACTAATTTCTTGGAAATGAGTTTCGGAAAGAGAAAAGTAAACTCGGCAGAAACTTGCCAAACAAAAAACTCAATGAGAAACTCAATATAGATATTTCACGAAAAAAAAACCACCATTAGGAGATTACCTGAAATATCTCACTTTCTCAGCAGTGTCCTACCAAACATATTGAAATATATCAAGGAAACTCAATGGCCTGATCTTTTTAAAGATGTTTTGATTTCCAACTGTTTGAAAGAATCACTAGAGAAAACTCCCTAACAAATATTTTGAACATTGCTAAGAAATCAAGAGGTATAAGTAACTAAAAAATAAAAACACACATCTCAATGATATTCCAAGCGATAAATACAACATACTACGAACCAAAATTCCATTCAAACACCGATAAGCACTAAAGAAAAGCGAACCATTTCATGTGAAGAGGCTACCCCCACCCCCCCACCATGAGCAATGGACAGTGTATGAAAATTCCATAGACCTTTCAACTAATACTACCTAACAGAGGAAAAGCAACAAGAGCACAAAGCAAAACGCATTTCAAACTATACATTACATTTGAACAGATCAAAACTTCCCATCTCCAATGAAATACCACAGAGAAGATTAAACCCAAATTTTGTGTAACCTCCTTTTGAAGACTCAAAGAGGTCAGTATATGAAAATCAATGCACCTGTCAAATAATAATACCACCACCTAAATAAACCAAAAAGAGTACCACATAGCATGTAGTTCTTTAATCATATATGTAACTATTTTCATCGTATTTAGCCATCATAGATCATCTATCCCTTAAAACAAACTACAAATCAGCATCAAAACCCCAATTTCATAAATCATGTGCAGCTATTCACCCAAAAAGAAAAAAAAGAGAAAGTTCAGAAGCTTGGAATCAAAAGCATGTAAGACTTTGCATCCACTCTAACAAAAGCAATATACAATTCCAGCAAAACCAACCTGACCTTTCCCAACTGCATCATACACCTCTAAAATGGGTAAAAAACGCACGCCTGACCTTTCTTGTGTGAATCAAACACCTCAAAAATGGCTAAAAAAAAAAATGCATGTTGCAGGAGAAATATGCAGATCATCACACGTTCTACATCAACTTTCCTCATTTCCAACAACTAACAACAATTGCAGAGAAAAATTGGATCACTTACTGGAACTAGCTTGAGCAGAAACCGCCATTATGGAAACTAGCAAATGAGCCCTAGAACTTACTGTAGAGGACGTGCCCCAGGGTTTACACAGAAACAAGGAAGCCCTAATCTAGTTTTTGACTCGAAATGTAACCAAATGCGAGGGTTTCAAGACAAAAGGAGAAATATCTCCATGGATAATCGTGATTTATAGATAATCGTGATTTGTAGAGAGAAAAAAAAAATGGAGAGAGAGAGTGGCTTAGTGTGTGTGAGAGAGAGGCTCAAGGAATAAATATAGTTTGGAGATAGAAGAGAGATAGGTTTGATTGGGTAGGAACAAACCAACAAAGAAGCCCTAGCACTCAATCTAAAGGATATGTCCTGCGGTTTACACACAAACCCAAAGCCCTTTCCTGTGCTTCTACAGAAAAGGTCAACAAGGTGGAGGGATGAGAGAGAGAGAGAGAGGAGAGAGAGGTGTTAGAGCGAGATTTCAATGGATAATGCCAACAAAGTTAATGATTTCAAGGGAGAGAGAAGAGAGTGATTTCAAGGGATAATCATCGTGTAGAGAGAGAAGCAAATAGAGGACATGGGGGCGCAGTAATAACCAGGGTTCGAGAGATATGAGATAGACAAGAATTTGAATCGATAAAAATTAGGGTTTTACATCCTGTGTCTCATTCAACCGGTAGAGGAGAAGAAGGGTCTTACAGAGGTGAAGGCCGGAGAGAACAGTGAAATCACCAGTTGCAGCAATAAAAATGGACCCCTCCACCGATACCTGATGTACGGCCAGATGCGAGCCAGAGATGTCAGCTACGAAATCTAGCCGTTGACGGACTTGAACAAAACAAAATATTTCTTTTAGGAAGACGAAGGGGAAATTTAAAAGGTCAATTGTTTCACGCGGGGCTCAAGTGCATTTCTACATGTGCCGTCCAGAAACGATGGAAACTAACCGTTCAAATGTTTTTATAAGAATTATTATCTCTGGTTTTTTAAATTTTATTTATTTTTTTCATAATCTTCATATATCCTTAAAAATTAAGAAAAAGTTTATATGGAGCCGAGGGTCTAATCAATCAAATTAGATTCTACCTCCAAAATTTCATTAGAAGAGGTTGTTTTGATGCCCAAAATATCTTTAAATTGAACATCTCGACATCAAGATGCATGGACATGAGAAAAAAATGGATTTCAAGTTTGGGAAATTATGTATTTTGTAACTCATTTTTGGACAGTCAATTTTTAAGATTTTTGAAGTTTTTATAGATCTCTTTATCTACACTATTTTTTAAATTTTAAATTTTATAAATAAATATGAAAATATATTTTAAAGCTATCAAAAAGATTTTTAATATTGAAACCACATTTCTCGACATTATTTGAAGGTAGGCTCTAATTTGATTGTTTAGAGCCTAGTCTCTGTACAAACCGCACCCTAAAAATTAAATCTTAAAATCCATCTCAAAAATATATTTATTAGGAGACCCACATTTCTACAAATCGAGGCTTGGCAGCGTAGAAACTGGGTCCAAATTAAAAAAAGGAAAAAGGTTCATGGACAAGCTCTACGCTATAAGTAAGACCCACCTTAAAAATCTACCACAAAAGTTTATTAGGCGCTAAAAAACCCTATTAAAGAAGGTTCTCGATGTTAGAAAACTTTCTAATTAATTTTGAAAAATTTTACCGGAATTGTTAACTGGACATGTGGCTGGAAGCGGTTCAACCGATCTAATTGCTAAACTGGCATGTTCAACTTGTCTGATTGGGCAAGTCTCAAGCGCGGTCAAAAAATTATTACAAATTTTAAAAATAGAAAAAATATAATAAAATATGGAAATCTTATTTAAAGCATGATTAAACAAAGCACATCCAAATGAAGTTGAAAATTAATATAAAAAAATAGATTTTAAATAATCGATTTGTGCTTAATGGTCTTTTTGAATTTTTTTTAAATAAATGGGAAAATGTTAAAATAAATATTAATGGCCAAAAATTTTCAATCTTGCCAAAGTGATGAAAAACATTAAAAAACGCATTACAAACAAAACCCTTTATTTTATCGGATTTTATTTTATTTTATTGTAGTTTTTTAAAAATACCTACCAGTTCACCAAAACCAACCAAAAAGACTAGTTTCGATTAACCAAGCCGTCATAATTCTAACCTCCTGATTTTTCCTACGCTAAATCATCTCGGCCTTGAAGTGTATGGATATTGACAACAAGGATTTGAAGTTCAACAGCAATGCATCATATTGTATAGACTGACCATTCCCAAGATTTTCTAAGTATTTATGGAACTTACTTAAATCATTTTTAAAATTCAAAATTTTATAATTAGAAACGAAAATAGGTTTTTAGGTCTAAGAATTTCGACAACAATAAATTTACATTTTGCGACAATGTTAAGAGAGGCGGCTCAGTGTATGATCGGTTCAGGTTGGAAACTTATACACGCCAAACCCGTTAAAAAGTGAATTTTTCAGCTAATAATGTCCCCACGAAAATAGCATTATGTTGTGATTGTAGATTTCATCATTGCATTCATAACCCTAAAATACTCATCTAAATTCACCATTACATCGTAGCAATGAGATAGTTATAATTTAGTAAGTGCTTGATACATAACAAATTAAAAGGGATGTAAATCAACACGACATTAAATATCAATAAAATTGGCAAACAGAAAAAGGCGTTACTCCTTTCTCAAAAAAAGGGGTTACTCAACGGATCGTGCCAGGTGATCAAGCCTGGCCCGATTTTTTGTGATAAGGCACGGGCTTGGCCCAGGTTCGAACTTTTTAAACTAGGCTAGGCTCAAATGTGCTCGTGGTTCTAGTAGGTTGCCCTAACTCTGGCTAGATCGAGGTTGCTCTCGCCCGACAAGAAGCCTCACACTTGTAGGCTGCTGATAAGCCGGTTTCGGGCAAAGCTAGGTCTAGTTTGAGCCAATCTGGGCTCTCATACCAAGGCCCTAGACTCGAACATTTAAAGCTAAGAGAGACCTGACCTTGGCAGATGGGTCTGATAAGGTTGCCTAAGCCAAACCGTTGAAAGCCTATAAGCAGGACGAACTTGATTGGCAGCCCTAGTAACTAGTAGGGGCTGAAAACTTGTTGGTAGACTCAAAATGAGTGTTGTTAGATTTGCCTCGCTTGGGCCAAAGCTTTCGGATTTTAGACCTAGATCAAAGCAAATGAAACCTGGTGTTGTCACTTCGGTCAGCTTTGATGAGCTTCGGCCTGTTCAGCCAAAGCAAATAAATATCTATATACATTTTTTTGTGTGAAAAAAAATAATATTTTTATATAAAATATCTAATTTATTTTTATTAAATAAAAAAAATCCAAACCCTTCCCTCGAATCAGCTGAGGCACCGAATTGTTTTGTTTTTCTTACCAAATCGAAAAAAACTTCAATGCAAATCCGACGGCATTGCTCAAAATCATCAAATGTTGTCAGAATCATCAAAGTCAACTATGAATAAAGGGGTATCCAATTACAGAGGCTTCGAAACTAAAGAAATGCCATGGTTGGACTGCAACTTGCCGGTTTAGCATGAACCTACCGACGGATTCCTATAGGGACTCGGTAAAGAGCATCAGTCTAGTCGTGGGGAATTGCTCGAGTTTACCGATTCCTATTTCTTCAATCGGATCTCATTCATGGCTATTTCAAGTTTCAACCCTAAATTTGAGCCTAAAAAGAGCCCTTTTTTTCTTCATATGCATCCACAAAATTATTGTTTGAAAACAATCTAGAATTGGAGTTATTATTTTTGTTGAATTCCAGCTCAATGAGGTTGGTTCTCTTTAATTTTTGGAACCTAAACCCCAATAAACCCTTCGGGTTCGATGTTTCACACTTTGTGTCCATCGATAATGGGTATTTGCTCACGCATTTTTTAATTTATGTAGATTCGTCGATTAAGTTTCGAAGTGGGCTCATTTCATGCATTGGTTCGATAGTGATTTTATGAAAAAAATCTTCAAAACCGTGTTAGGGCCATTTTTCTCACCTTAATTTTTAATATACGCACTTTTTATTGGAATAAACAGTGGCGAGGTCTTACATAGTAAATAAAAAAAGCTAGCACAACAACAGTAAGCACTCAAAATGAATCCGTAGTTATCCTGAAAAATGTTTACCATAGTTTGATGAGTTTGGCTACTCAGTAAGTGATCATCATAATCCTAAAAATAATCATGATTGAAAGATATCAATATTTTTTCAAAATGAGATCTATTAATAGAAATGCATCAACAGTTTCACTTTTAATAAATGCATAATTAAGTATAATCCGAGTAATTGAAATGCTTATAACACTTTTAATGGCGGTACATGATTCAAAGGATTTCACAAAATACCCTACTGGCGTCCCAAGTAGGTCACCTATATACCCCATCAGCGTTCTGATGGGTCCACTTAATCCCTATCAGCGTCCCAGATAGGTCTACTTAATCCCTGCAGGTCCACTTATACCTCACCGGCGTACCGGATGAGTCCACTTAATCCCTATCGGCGTCCCAGATAGGTCCACTTATACCTCACCGGCGAACCGGATGAGTCCACTTGCATACTTAAATTATTTCTAAATCTCTTTAAACATTCGAAAACAGCAATATCATGTACTCAACATATTACTGAAATCATTAATATGAATTTCACTTAAACCATTAATAACAGTCACTCTCTATAACATTTCAAAAATAACCAATCAAATATTTTGGGCTCAAATTTAGAAAGGTAGCAGTTTGTAAAGGCATTCTAGCATAATTGCCAATTTAATATGTATAGAAAAATTCTTATAAAAATTCAAGAATACGGAATTATCACAATTAATGGGATATCAATCCACAAATAAGCATTTCAAAACAATACTATAATCAATTGCAAAAATATCAATTTTTTTAAATAATAAGGCAGTCATTTGCACATGAATTTTACAATGTCTAAATATTCAGAACAATAGAAAGAAATATCACAATTTTTACTAAAAGCAGAAATATCACATTTATTTCTAACAATAAACAAGAAAAATAAATAAATTTATTTTTCTAATTTACAGCATTCAAAATTTATAACATAGATAAAATATCACAATTTTTATTAGAAAGATTATTTTTCAAGATAATGAGGTCACGTTCGCATAAAATTTATCGCGCCTAAAATTCATGATAATAAGTAGAAATAATTATTTCATTTCATTTTTAAAAAGAATGGATTATTTTTCGAGACAATGGGGTCAATTACACACAAAACTTATAAAATAAAGATCCTAGACGGAAATATCACTATTTATTAAAAACAGACTATTTTTCAGGAAGACGATGTCACTTACCTAAAATATTTGAGAGGGAGCTTCCGATAAAAATTCGGCTAAGGAGAGAAGCTCACTGTGTTTCGACCAGAAAGGGAAAGATTTCAAAAGTTTTCTAGGGTGGGAGTCCTCGCCTCTCGTATTTAAACTCTTACGACACCTTATTATAATATTTTATTAAGTGACACCTCATAAACGAGGTGTAACCGTTACAATACCCCTTATATGCTTAAAGCCCACGTCCACTTGACGTGGCAAGGCAGGAGCAAACAAAAGAAACTTAACCAAAAGATTTTGAAAACAGTGATGGTCCCTAAGGACCATCATGCTCATATAGACCATCACTTATTAAGAGTTTCTTTCCTTCTTTTTTATTTTTTACTTTTTTTAAAAAAAATTTAGAATTATTACATTCTTCCCCCCTTAAAGAAATTTAGTCCTCTAAATTTGTGTACCTGATTATTGAAAAAGATAGAGATTTTTTTTTTTTTTTTTTTCTTCATATTCTTTCAACTTCATTATTATTTTAAGTACATT